GTGTGTGNGTGTCGTGTTGTATATCTATGTCGAACTATATATATATTAGTAATAATAATAATATATATAATATATATATATACATATACTATTATATATTATATACTAAACAACACACACACACACACATATATATATATACATATCTTATTATATATATATATATATATATATGTATATATATATATTGTGTATACTGATATTTGATAAGCTTGCTACGTGCGGTTATAAATCGTACGCCCACATAATCGTAGTGTGGGATACCATTGCAATTTGCTACCGACACAATGACGATCAACAACGAGTGTTGCACTATCTGTAGCCTGTGCTAACAATAATATTGGTAACGCAATGTGACTCATAACTGTAGATTAGTATACGTTTATTTAAATCCACAGACTAAATGTCTGGCACTGGGTTCTTTACCTGGACCCTAGCATTCCGTGGCGGCATATCCTTGTGCGCCTTTCTATTCCAGGGCTGGACTCGTTTTGTCCTGCGATTCAAGGTGCACAATATCAAACAGGGCGATGACTTATGAGAATTAGGACCGGTCCAGCCCCGGGTGTCGAGTGGTCCGAGAATGCAAAGGCTTCACTTTTGCAGTGTTTAGGTTTACTGCCCCTCGGTGACGCGCCTATGAAGTTAAGTTTATAACCGACTGCCTGGAGAACTGATCAGGGTTTTAGGGTTTTAGGGTTTTAGGGTTTTAGGGTTTTCAGGGGTTGAGGGTACACACTTGAAGACAGAATACACGTACTTATACCACATAGTGCTCTATATAAACGTATACCCAGAAAGTACATACGTATACCACATAAATAGGGCCCTATATGAACTTGTACACAGCATGTGCATACGAACGTGTTCTGTATCTACTTGCTTGTGACTGTACCTACATACCGTGTGGTGAGGCAATCGATGCCGTCGTCGTTCACGTGGCGTTTCTTCAGATACGCCTGAAACACGATGGTGATCTCGTCCGCTGGTAATGGGATTGGGGTTTAGGGTTTCAGAGCGTCAGCTGGTAATTTGGACTGCAACGACCAGATTACTCACTGAATTTGTAGTACCCGAATCAGGTTTAGACGAAATAAGAGTGCGAATTGCAAGCTACATGCCAGATAACGGTACGAAGCAATAGCAGTGATGTGTGTTTGCTGTTCTAAGCCTACAGCGACCGTGTATATACAAAGCCCAAGTACTTGTGTCGGAGTTACCCATGATAAAGACACCGAACTTTATGGTTGGTATATGTACCGACCTTGCCCTTGACTTATATACCAAACATTCCCCCGATAGACCCAACTTTATTCTTGGTATATATATCAATCTTTACTCTTGATGTACGTACCGAACTGTACCTTGATCATACAAACCCAGATGCGCGATCTAAGCAAACATACCCAGCGTCCCCTATGTTTCATCGAGCAAAATAATATGAACCTATGACTACTGTGTTTTCAACCATACCTAGAGTTAAGACTAAGTGAGATAAACCTAGGACTACTGTGTTACCAACCATACCTAGAGTTATGACTAAGTGGAACATTACAAACTTAGGACTACGGTGTTACCAACCATGCCTAGAGTTAAGACTAAGTGGAATATTACAAACCTAGGACTACTGTGTTATCATCCATACCTAGAGTTAAGACTAAGTGGAACATTACAAAACTAGGACTACTGTGTTACCAACCATACCTAGAGTTAAGACTAAGTTACCTAGGACTACTGTGATACCATCCATACCTAGAGTTAACACTAGGTAAAATAATATAAACCTAGGACTACTGTGTTACCATCCATACCTAGAGTTAACACTAGGTAAAATAATAGAAACCTAGGACTACTGTGTTACCATCCATACGTAGAGTTAACTCTAGGTAAAATAATATAAACCTAGTACTACTGTGTTACCCTCCATACCTAGAGTTAAGACTAAGCTACCTAGGACTATGTGTTATCATCCATACCTAAAGTTAACACTAGATAAATTAATATAAACCTAGGACTACTGTGTTACCATCCATACCTAGAGTGCGGTTGTACTTGCGCAGACGGCCCTTGATCATGTCTGTGACGACAGTGAGATCGTCTTCGAAGTTGCCACACGCCTCACACTCTCCCACTTCAGCTGTGATGTCTTCGCCGTACAGATGTAAACTGCGAAAAAAACGCAAATGTGAGATAACTGGGGGTCTGTTTTAGGGGTCTAATTATGTTAATGCATGTGAGGATTCGTAGACTGCAATGTACTAGATAGGTGAGAGTGGAGTGGAAGGGTCCTCATACGCTATGTGTATTTGAGGAGTGCTATATATTGCGTACATTTAACGCTATATCCAGCTGTGATACCATCTGCGAACAAACGAAAAGCACAAGGTAGTGTCTAGAATCCAGACATTAAATGTATATATCAATATGTATCTCTATATCTATATATCTATATATAAACAAACACACACACACATACACACACACTCACACACACACTCATATATATATATATATATATATATATATGTATATATATATATATATATATATGCATATATGTATATATATATATGGGTGTG